TACATCGTATACGTTATAATATATCTTAAACGTATAGTGGTTCATTCAGGAACGATAAATTTGATTTACATAATGAGTATAGGATATACTTGTAAGTATAAGTAAAAAATTGTAAGTATAAGTAAAAAAAAAGGGGGTTTAGTGATATTTGATTTCATAAATATCAATCAATGCAAGGAATTGTTTCAAGACAGATTCTAATTGCCATCATAACGAAATTCATTTGATTGATACAGGTACCTACCAATTCAACCTAGATCCAAACTATTTCATCGAATCATTAATAAAGCGATTCAGCTTGCCCCCCAAACCAAATTCTTAGAAAAAAAAGAAAAAAAAAAAAAGATTTATTAAATAAAATAATATTAACATTATTAATAATTATTGAAATTATTAATAATATTATTTAAATTCTAAATTTAAAGAAAAAAAGAAAATAGATTTATTTATGGAATTATAAAATGTCGATTAGAATGAACGATTCAGGAATATAAATAATCAAAGAATTCTCTATAATCGTGAAAGACAGAAAGATCCTTCGCGTTGAGTCATACGATTCCATTATATTGACAATTTCAAAAAACTATTCATACTATGATCATAGTATGATGACGGTTGGGCAAGTATGCCCCCATCGTCTACCGGTTCAGGACATCTCTCTTTCAAGGAGGCAGCGGGGATTCGACTTCCCCTGGGGGTAGGGTACTACGAAAGGAAGTTGATCGTGGATTATCACTAAGCCTGGATTGATTCTTCCCGGGTCGATGCCCGAGCGGTTAATGGGGGCGGACTGTAAATTCGTTGGCAATATGTCTACGCTGGTTCAAATCCAGCTCGGCCCAATAATTCGCCGATCCACCATGAAATGATATAAGCCATTTGTTGTTCTCCAGAAATGCTCGATCCCAGTCAAAATCTCTGATATTGATATATCTTTATCCCTATCGCTATTACTCTATTTATTTTTCTTTTTTCCAACAAGTTTTGATCTTGCTAATGATCTATATTCATATCAAGATCTGGAAGTGTAAAGTCTAATGAAAAGAGTAAAGAAAAAAAAGACCTTTTTCATTGAAAGATTGACTATCCAATTAATTTGGAAATAACGACAAGATTATTAGTAATCACTGCCTCTCTTGCTAAAGTTCATATCCATATCGAAAGTATTTGAATAAAAACATAAGAATATGTATACTGTACACCTTATTTTATTATGTTATTTCCTTGGGATTGTAGTTCAATTGGTCAGAGCACCGCCCTGTCAAGGCGGAAGCTGCGGGTTCGAGCCCCGTCAGTCCCGATGGATCCAAATCCAATAAAAAAATACAGCAATTCATCTTCCATTTTTCTGTTCTGTGAAAGAAAGTACAAAGAGTAGAATTTCATTGCCAACAGGAATCCCTTTTCTTTTTATCTTTTTATTTTTTTAATTTCTATTGTTTGGCTTTGTTTGGAACCAATGATAAGTGTAAAAGCGGTTAGATGATACTTCATCAAATGATTGTACAAGGAGGGCGCTAGTTTATAGAAAGAAAGGGTGGAAAAGAATGAAAAATATAAATCAAAGTTAAAGTAAAGGGGTTTTTGATTGTATCAAAATTGACTTTGGAATTCGATATGGATAAAAGATCTTCCTATGTTATATTATTCAATTCTTGACGATGAATCAATTTGTCAGATATTGTTATTCATGATATTGATCCGATTCGATTATATCTCGATGTAATTCATCTCATTGAATTTATAGACAAAAGATTTATTATCTCTATGGGATTAAATCCCGAGTTATTGCGAATTAAAGAAAAACGAAAGGATGAAATTATGGAAGTAAATATTCTCGCATTTATTGCTACTGCACTGTTCATTCTAATTCCTACTGCTTTTTTACTTATAATATACGTAAAAACAGTAAGTCAAAGTGATTAATTTAAATTAAACTTGTGACTTTTTAGTTTTTATCAATGATTGAAGAGAAGAAATAAAATAAAAAGGATTCAAATTTCACGTTTTAAATGAAATCATCGAACTAGAATCAGCAGTATTCTATGAGATACTAGATAGTATGGTAGAAAACGATTTTTCTACCATACTAGTATTATTATTGTACTGTATAAAGTTTGCTGTATGACGATACAGGTTAATTTAATATATATCAATTGACATTATATAGATATAAATTCCATATAGAATGTACATAGTGTCATGTCCCAATCCTATTTCTTTGCTTCATCTATTTCTATTTGATTTATTTGATTTGTGTTGATTCCAATCAATTTGAAATAATCGAAAGACAGCTCTTACTCTTACGATTCTAATTCCTAGATTTCTTATCTTTTTTAATATGAATTCCGATATCCATTGAAAAAAAGAATCAAATCAATGAAAGAAAAAGAGGTATGGGTATAATAAAAGAAAATCAAGTAATCTTCTTGTTAGCATTCCAACAAAGAAGTAATTGATTAACCAGTTGACAGAGTATCCAGAGGTTCCATGGGAACTTCTTCGGATTTCGAAAAGGATTAATAAACCTCACCAATTTTAACCCTTCAACCATTATATGAAATGAAAAAAAAAGACCAGCATAAATAAAATTTTTAAAATAATAAAACAAATGGTAAGTGCGCAATATGTGACTTGCCCAAGACAATATTTTCTTATGTGTAGTATCTCCTTGTACAACCACTATGTCTATGTTGTTTCCCGTAAAAAAGTGTATCCACGTAATGTAATAACAGAACTCTTTTCTCTTTGAAGAGGAAAGACGGAAAAAAATAACAAATAAAAAGTAAAAAAAAAAGTAAAGTATATAAAAGGCTTTCGTTCTTACTCTTACTCATTGTCGATATAGAAAATTTATGAAGAATTCGATTGGAAAAGATTTCATACCATTTGGAGTACTTTCGAAATACGAACATAGGAATAATTGAAATATTTGTTTGATTGAAAGAGTTCATATGTTATTTATAGAATACATTACTCCACTAGAATCCAATACATATAACTTCGAAATGAAAATTTTTTGAAATTCAATTTTTAAATTGAAATAGTGAATTAAAAAAAAAAGTCTTTGCAGAACGATCTATAAAAAAAATTGATACAGTTTGATTCCTAAACTCAATTAGTAGTACTTCTAGAGTCCACTTCTTCCCCATACTACGAGTGAAAGGGAAAAGGTAAAGACTACCATCAAAGCAGCCCAAGCGAGACTTACTATATCCATGTGAATTATGTCCTCGATCTCTATGAAGGAATTATTCAATTATTGTTTACTAATAATAGTAGAATTACCAGCGCAGAGTCAAAAGGGGGTTCTGATCCAACACCATTGATGAAAAAATCCAATAAATCCAATTAGACCAAGTTCTAATGATTATACTAAAAGATCTCTAGTATAATCGGAAAACATTAAGTACAAGCAAAATAGGCAGAGACAGCCCTTGAAGTCTCAAAAGTATCAAAGGAATGTTAATAATATGTCAGAATAATAAGACCTATTCTTTCTTTTGTCGCCCTTCATTTCATTAATTCAAAAGTATAAAAATATAGAATCAAGCTAGATCATTATCTATCGCATACTCCTATTTTATTTCTTTTCGATTTTTCCCTTTTATTTGATCTCAATCTTACCATCTTCGATTGTCGCTATGAACCAATCGAAGACGTCCTATTACGTTCTTGACTCGAGATTATCGAAAAGTTCAAATTTATTTTTGTACTTTAGTTAAGTTAAAACTTTAATATATTAATATATAATATATAAATAAGTAAAAGTATATAAACTAAAAGTTTATATAAATATAAATTTAAGTTAAAGTAAAAGCCAATTAGCCATTCAACCGAATTACTATTGAATGAATGTCAGAGTACTCAGAGACTTTCATGAGTATGTATACAAAGTATCTTCTGCTCTTTCCGCAACTCAAAATTTCATTAGATTCTCCGTCCGGCTATCCAATCTAATTCAAGACCCAGTCAGTAGACACTACATTATCAGTAGACACTACATTAGTAGTGGAAGGGCGCTATCATATCAAACTTTACCAGTTCTTTTTGACGACTATAATCTTTTCCTAAACCCTAGCGAAAGTATTTACAGCATTTTATAGAGTAGAACCCCCCAGATACTTAGAATCAAGCAAGTATCCAGAGTCCTTTTCCTCTACTTGCTTCTGCTGGAAAAAAATTTGGCAAGTTATATCAGCAAAACAAAATAAAGTATTTCGATTCTTTTGTTGATTAGGCGACACCCGGATTTGAACTGGGGAAAAAGGATTTGCAGTCCCCCGCCTTACCGCTCGGCCATGCCGCCAAAACGATATAAAATATATGACAAAATTTCCCCTTTTGCTTCTTTTTTTATTGTACTTTATTTTGAATCCCGTTTTCTTTAATCCCTTTAGATGGGGAATGGATACCGCTCACGCAGTTATTTTCCGCAGTAAGTTTAAGAAAAATCATGTATATGTCTATATGATTCAAAAGTTTCAAGTATGTATGTTTAAAAAGTATACGTACATATGTATGTTAAGAAAACCAAGGTTGTAACTAACAACCCTAGTTTTGAGTATTTAAGTTTTAGAATGTTACAGTACATGCAACAAATAAATGAATTTTAAACATGACGATTTAAATGAGTAATTTTAAAAGGACTTTAAGATGTACTTGAATTTAAGATTTCTCACGAAATCCGTTTTAAAGTCAAATGAGATGGCCGATTGAAATGACTAGTTTTAGAAAAGCTTTTAAAGAGTATTTAAAACAAGAGTTCAAATGCTATTCCATTTGAAGGATATTCCTAAAAGGTTTTATCTTAACTAAAATTAAGAAAAGCTTTAAGAAATTTAGTGATTCACTTATTTGAAATTATTGTTACAAATTATGAAAGTATTCCTTCTTATATCAAAAAAAAAAAAATGTTTCGCATATTTTAAGAAACCCCAGTAAGTACAAGTTAAAAAGTTAGTAACAGTGGCGGCCTCAAAGGAGGGTCGTCACAGAAAGGGGAGTATTGGAACAAGATTGCTCACATCCCCACCATTACCATATATAAATTAACAAGATCCAGATACTAGGTAGCTCTTCATTATTTTACCTTTTTTTTCTTTTATTTGCTATCTTTCCTCTTTCTTTTTCCAGTGAGAATGTGATTCGTACTGCACCTTCACTCTGTAGTTTGGCTAATCAATTTTCGGTCATGAAACATGCTCAAATTGTTTTTCAGGTTTTCTTAACCAATTAATTTAGTTAATATCCATTTTGTGAATATTATCTTAATGGCTGTGAATATTTTTCTTTTTGTTTTTGTTTTTTAGTGACCTTCTGCGTTCAAATTATGTGTCCTTTTAATGCAGGGGAGTTATGAACGTGCCTTTCTTTGATAGTAGCAGAAACAAGTGTGCCTGCCATGTGTGTATGCGTAAGATCATGCAAGTGAGTTTTTTGAGAGAGAGAGAGAGTGTGTGTGTGTGTGTGTGTTAGAGAGAGAGAGAGAGAGAGAGAGAGGTTTTTTTTTTTTTTTTTTTTTTTTTTTTTTTT